CGGGGGGGGGGGAGGGGGAGAGAAAGACGCGGGCACGAGCAAAGGGGCCCCGCGGATTGCAGGAGATATACTTGGATCTTCTTTAGCTTGGAGTGATCGAGGTGGAACACGTAAAACACACCACGGCAACGCCACCAGTATCATACTGTTCGTCGCCCCATTTCTGTTGCGATTCGGGGTGAATTAGGTAGGGAGGGAGACCGAGGCACGCCAAGCGCGTCCACAAAGCACGGCGCGGAGGGCTACGGCCGAGAAGATTCGCGTCGTGCAGCGCGGACATCAGGTTGGAAGCAAGAGGACGGCACACATGATCGTGGTTATTGCCAGGAACATTCCCACCATAACGCCTACACAGGTCACGCGCGTAATACCAAACACGGAAAAAAGCACAGTTCACGCACATGTAACCGTGCACGTGCAGGAGAGGGAGCGCAATGCACAAAGCCCTTCTTCTAGCCGGATAGATTCAACAAAACACACACACACACACACACACACACACACACACACACACGCCCGTCCTTGCCATGCGATAAGAACGGCAAGCTTTCAATCCGATTACGCGCACCCAGAGACGTAGACGGAGAGATGGGGGAGGGAGGAAAAGAGAGATAGAGAGAAGACCTACGGCAGCGGAGACGGAGACAAAGGGCGTCAGGTCGAAGCTAGAGATATGGCAAATTCAACCACACACGCCCATGTCACAAAATGCATACCTCAGGCCCCCCGCCGATCATGCTGCTGGCGCCGCCGCTGCCGCCCATGAGAGCTACCCTGGACAAATCGGAGGACTGACGCTGGTGCCAAGCGACCGGAGGTTCGTCGGCACCCGCCACTCTCCCCCGAAGCCGCGCCAGGCTTGATTGGGCCGCCTGCCTCGTCGAAACCAAGGGTTGCAAGGGCGAGAAAGCAGGGCAAGCCGCACCTCATCAGAGAGTACGTAACGCAACAACTTGACAAAAAAAGTTGATACCGAAAAGCCGGGTAAGGATGACACCATTGTTGTGGGACCCGGACAACCAGGTGTAACCCCGCCCACGCCCGGGCGTTGGGGGTTGTAGCCTCGCTCATGACGCCAAACTGTTGTATTTGGTTGTAGTGGCAGTATCGCCATATGCTCCTAGGCAGCAGACGCTCGAACAGCAACGAAAAACACCGGCGGACAAACCCCCCGCGTGATCGGAGGCAGAGGCAGACGCGACAGAACAAATACAACAAAACCACTCAAGCGAAAAAGTAAAAACGTATCACAACAGGGGTGTCTCCCGTCATTGTGTGCGAATCGCCACAGGTTCGGGCTCTCTCTGTCTGTCTGTCTGTCTGTCTGTCTGTCTGTCTGTCTGTCTGTCTGTCTGTCTGTCTGTCTGTCTGTCTGTCTGTCTCTCTGTCTCTCTGTCTCTCTGTCTCTGTCTCTGTCTCTGTCTGTCTCCATCCTTCCCTCACCTGTAGGTTGGTAGCTAGCCTAACGCCCCCGGCCCTCGACAGGCGGTGCACCGACAGCTCCGCCGTCATCACCACCCGCTCTAGCACTGTCGCCTGCAAAGAAGGACATCCACCCGTCCAATCATCTCTTCAGTCATCGAGTAGCTCCATTCCTTCCTACCCAACACGCTTAACATCCAAGGCGAATGTCGAGGCGAAAACTAAGCGCGTCGAGGCGCCGGGTTGTTATACTGATCGATGCATCACCTGCTGCTTGGGCGCTTGAGACGGGACTGGTTTCTCGACGAGCTGTCGTGTCAGGAGAGTTGAACATATTCCTGCATTGCCTTTGTTCCTTGCATGTGAGTCGAACTAGGCTATGGCCGTGGGAACAATGAGCATCTGTGAGGTAGAAAGCCACGGTCATTGTGTTGCAACAACAACAACAACAGCAACAACAACAACAACAACAACAACAACAACAACAACAACAACAACAACAACAGACCTGGTCGATGGCCTTGGGCACAAGCTTGTACTGCAGGGCGTGGCCGACCGCCTTGTGCCCGTCCCTCTCGGCCTCCAGCGTCTTGTCGAGGGAGATCATCATCGACCGCGCCTCCAGCCGCTTCTTCTTGTGGAGGTTGGCCTCCTCGATCTTTGTCACCAGGCTGAAAAACGAAAGGAGGCATGTGCGTGTTCACAAGGGTACCGCAACAGTCGGCGAGGCAGGGGCCCCAAACGAGGCAAGCACGCGACCGAGCAATTGGAGGACCAATCATGCATGTCCTCGAGTACAACACGAGATTGACATGCCGAACAGAGACACAATGAGTGCACGGCCCGCTCACGCAAGGACAAGCAAAAAACAACGAAATATAGCTGACACAGCCAAATTGTGTGCTGCTGCAGATCGCGCATCGACCGTGTTCCCGTGGATAGCTAGCTCCTTTCTCTCTCATCTCCAAACCCGGCATTCTTTTCTAGCATCCGCTGTGCACGCATCCCAGTCTTCTTTGCCCCATGCGCTGCCACTTATTCAAAACGTGCACCCCCCTTCGCTGGTCTTGTCTGTTGCCCCCTCCCCCCGCCCCGCTCACCTTTGTTCGAGCCCCTGTGCCTTTTCCTCCCTCTCGCCAGTCTCGGTCATCATGAGATGCTGCAACCTTGAAGTTTCGGATTCGAGAGCGGCGTTCTGCAGGTGCCATTGCGTGGGGGGGG